GCTGGAAGTAGCCCAAGCTACAAAATGTATATACAGACCCGGGCCGGGCTACCTATATACACGGGCACCTATGTACAGCCGCGCTACTCTTTCTTCTTGGCCACCGTCAGCTCCACGCCGGGCACGCGGAAGCCGCCCTTCGTCCCGCTGTCGTTGCTGGAGGAGGAGGACAAGCGCGATTTTTTGGACGCCAGCGAGACCCCGCTGCCCTGCGCCTTCCCCAGCTCCTCGTCGCTTCCCGTCACCTCGTACGAGCCTTTGGTCTTGGAGCCGATCCCCCCGAACGTCCCGAATTTCATTTTGCCCTGTTTCCCCTTGTCGGCGCCCGAGCCGACGTCCAGCTCCAGGGTTCCCGTGGGCGTCGAGTGGGACGAGCGCTCGTCGCTGAAGGACGACGACCGGTGACGCGTCTTCTTGCTCTTAAAGAGGGAGAACTTCCCTTTGGCCGACGGCCCCTCTCCCCCGTCCAGCTCGCCTTCTGCGGACCCCAAGCTGACCTTGGAGCTCTTCAGGTCACCTTTCGATCCCGAAACGGACCCAGAAACCTCCGGGGAGCCCAGGGCGCCGCTGCTCTTCCCCTTCGGCTTGGAAAAATTGAACTTGGGCATTTTGATTTTGGATTTCTTTAGCCTGACATCCGTGTCCTCCGACTCCAGCTCGGCGGCGCCGGCCTGGAGGTGAGCATCCGCCCCGGGGAACTCGACGTCGACCCCCATCTCCCTGCCCTTCACCTCGGGGTCCGAAAACATGAATTTAGGCATTCGCAGCTTGGGGAACGATACTTTTCCCAGGCTGCTTTCTGGGCTACCGTGCGGGGCGCTCGCGGCGATGCCGGGACCTCCGATTCCGACTTTTGGGCCGGTAACGTGAAAAGCTCCCCCGGCGGCACTCACAGCCGGAGCCGCCGCTTCTCCAGAGACGGTGCCGCCGCCTTTGATCTTCGGCCCTTTTACGTTAACGTTAAAATCCAGCCCTGAACCTTTCAGCGCAGACGCAGCCGCGGCGGGAGCGTCAAGGTGGACGCCAACTCCGGGCTCCTGAACGTCGACGCGTGGCGCTTCCACGCTGACTTTTGGACCTTTGATTTCACCGGCAACGTCGACGTCGCCCCGGAGGTTTGGTCCTTTCAGCTTCAGGTCAATGTCCGGCAAGGAAACACCAAGCGACTGCGTTTGAAATTTGGGCCCTTTCAATTCCACGTCGGGTCCTTCCAAGCCAACACCAGCCCCTGAGCCCTTCAGGCCGCCTTTCACCTGGGGACCTTCAAGACCGACACCAACGTCGGCTCCATCCACACCAGGACTGGAAATACCAAACTGGGGGAGCTTGAGGGACGGGAGCTTGATGGTGCCACCCAAAATTTCAAAGCCGACGTCGGACGTGTCCACCGATGCTATGGGGGATTTAACGCCAGCAGAAACATCAAGATCTCCTTTCAACGTTGGTCCTTTCAGGTTTACATCCAAAGCCGGGGCAGAGACATCCACCGAGGGCCCTTTGGTAGCGAAGCCCGGGATGCCGAGATCGAGATTCGCACCCGGGGCTTTCGCATCCGCCTCCATCGGCGGGACGGAGCAGGCGACGCCTCCTTTCACACTCGGATCCGGCGCCTCGGCGGCGGGGGATTTAAACTTCGGCAGCTTCAGCTTTCCTCCCAAGCCTCCCATGTCGACGCCTGGCGCGTCCAGGCTGACGTTTGGCCCTTCCACAGAACTCGAAACCTCCAGATCTCCCTTTAGTTTTGGTCCTTTCAGCTTTCCATCAAAATCGGGTCCAGAGAGTTGGGGCCCTTTGAGCTTCACCTCGACACCTCGGAGGTTCACATCGGCCGAAGGGAGGCTCACGCTCCCTTCCACGGCTGGGACAGAGAGATCCAAGTTTGCATCCGGCATTTCCAGACCGAGACCCATTTTCCCCACCTTGGGCAACCTCAACTTTCCTTCGGGACCTTCCAGTTCTGCTCCAGGAACGCCGACTTCACCTTTTCCTTTTGGTCCTTTCACATTTACGTCGACATCCGGCACTGGGACGGAGGGGACGGCGACATCAATGGCGGGTCCTCTCAGGCTGCCCTCGATTTTCGAGTCCCCTACGCCCACCTGCCCACCGGGAAGTTTGAACTTCGGTTTCTTCAGGCTGACGTCGGAAGCTTCAACGTCCACGTTGAGACTCGGGCCTTTGACGTCGCCTTGGGCGGTTGGCACAGAGACTTCTAGCTCAGGGGCTTTAAGCTCCCCCTCCATTTTTGGGACCGCCACAGAAGCGTCCCCTCTGAACCTGTGCGATTTAAGGTCAAATTCGACGTCTGGGAAGGAGATTTTCCCAAACATGGGTTTCTTCCCTTTGGGGGACTTCACCGTCGCGTCACCTTTTATCGTCACGTCCGGACCAGCTACGTTCACGTCCAGGTCGGGAGGTTTCACCGTCGCATCGAGCTCTCCGCCAGCCGCACTCACATCGAACCCACCTTTCTTGCCTTTAACTTTAGGGCCGCTCATATGGAGTTTTGGCATCTTGAACTTGCTCTTCTTACCCTTTCCAGCGACGCTGACGTCGGGCGACTCCACGTTCAGCTCCGCCTCGGGTAAATCCGCTTCTGCGCCCGGGACCTTGATTTCTGCCTTCGGGCTTTTCATCCCAAACCCAAACTTGGACTTCTTAAACTTGGGAAGTTTGACGTTTACCTCGGGGCCTTCAACGTTCAGGTCAGGACATTCGACGTCAACTTCAGGGCCTTTGATATCAACTTCGGGACCTTTCAGGTTACCTTCTACCTTTGGGGTTGAAAGGTCAAAGCCTCCCTTCGTTTTGTGGCCTTTCAAATTCAGGTCTATCTCGGGCATCGAGATTTTAGGAACATTCACGTGCATTTCTGGCATCTTCAGTTTTGGACCTTTCAGTTTGCCCTCCGGACCTTCAACGCTCACATCTGGGACACTGATGTCTACCTTGGGGCCTGAAAGGTCGACCTCTGTCTTTGGCAGGTTCACGTCCACCTCAGGACCTTCTCCTTTAAAGCCAAACTTGGGCAGCTTCATTTTGGGTATCTTCATTTTTCCCTCCAGACCATCAACATCCACCTCTGGGCCCTCGATATCTACTCTGGGACCCTTAAGATCAACTTCAGGACCCTTCAGACCTCCCTCGAGCTTCGGGCCCTGAAGGTCAGCATCGCCTTTCAGCTTCAGTCCCTTCAGGTTCAAGTCTATGTCTGGCATGGAGATCTGGGGGGTCTTGACGTGCATTTCCGGCATCTTGATCTTGGGCCCTTTCAGTTTTCCCTCCGGCCCTTCGAGGCTCACGTCGGGCGCCTGAATGTCCAACCTGGGGCCTTTGACGTCAACATCTGGACACTGCAAATCCCCTTCCAGCTTCGGTGCCGAGACATCCACGTCCCCCTTCAGCCTGGGGCCCTTCAGATGAAAGTCGACATCGGGCATGGAGAACTTGGGCGCCTTGATGTGCATCTCGGGCATCTTGAATTTGGGGCCTTTGAGTTTCCCTTCCGGCCCTTCGATGGTCACGTCGGGAGCCTCAACCTCTATTTTGGGGCCTTTCACATCGATTTGGGGCGCTTGCAAATCACCTTCGAGCCGGGGCCCAGCAATGTTGAAGTCAACATCAGGGATGGAGACCTTGGGCGCCTTGATGTGCATCTCGGGCATCGTGAATTTGGGACCTTTGACTTTTCCATCCACGTTCAGATCGGGAGCGTCTACATCTACGGTGGGGCCCGAAACGTCAACGTCTCCCTTCGGGAGGTTCACGTCCACATCCACCCCCTCCCCTTTAAAGCCAGGCATGGAAAACTTGGGCATTTTGAATTTTGGCAACTTGAATTTACCTTCCGGGCTGTCAATGTCAACATCAGGGGCACCTATGTCTAATTTAGGAGCACCGACATTGACCTCTGGACCTTTCAGTTCACATTCAACTCCCGACACCGACATGTCTATGTCTCCTTTAACTTTGGGACCTTTCAGGTTGAGATCGAAGTCCGGCGTGGAGATTTTGGGTGCCTTGATGTGCATCTCGGGCATCTTGAACTTGGGGCCCTTCAGCTTACCCTCGGGGCCTTTGATGTCAAGGTCAGGAGCCTCAATCTCAACCTTAGGACCTTCCAGATCAGGTGCAGAAATGTCCACACCCCCCTTCACTTTGGGGCCTTTCAAGTTCAAGTCAATGTCAGGCATGGAGATCTTGGGCGCCTTGATGTGCATCTCGGGCATCTTGAACTTGGGGCCCTTCAGCTTCCCCTCGGGACCTTCAATGTCCAGCTCTGGACCTTCAATATCCACCTTCGGACCAGAAACCTCCAGGTGTCCTGTCGGCAGGTTCACGTCCACCTCTGGAACGTCTCCTTTCAGCCCCGGCATCCCGAACTTGGGCATTTTGAACTTGGGCATTTTGAACTTGCCTTCCGGGCCGTGAACGTCCACGTCGGGTACCTCAATGTCGACCTTGGGGCCCTTGATGTCCAGCTCGGGACCCTTCAGGTCACCCTCAAGCTTGGGAGCTGACACGTCCACATCGCCCTTGAGCTTGGGGCCCTTCAGATTGAAGTCGACGTCGGGCATGGAGAACTTGGGCGCCTTGATGTGCATCTCGGGCATCTTGAACTTGGGGCCCTTCAGCTTCCCCTCGGGGCCTTCCAGCTCAACGTCAGGAAGGTCGACATTGACACTGGGGCCTTTGATGTCAACGTCGGGGCCCTTCAGGTCACCCTCCAACT